GTGAGACCCCAGGGTCAAGAAATTCACAATTTTGGTAAAGCACCTTAAGACCCTTCCATCTATGAAGAGTATTTGATTCTACCATATCTGGGTCTTGAGAAGAAGATTTTTGAAATTTTAGTCAATTTGACCCTTTTTGGCCCCGCCCCTCAGGCCCCTGGGGGCTTGGGACTAAACCGGCAACTATTTTTGTTGACCTTTGTCCATGGAAGGTTCCTGCAAAATTTCATTGAAATTGGTTCAGTGGTTTTGGAGAAGAAGTCGAAAAATGTAAAATGTTTACGGACGCACGACGGATGACAACGACGGACGACGACGGACAAAAGGCGATCGCAATAGGTCACTTGAGACTTTGTCTCAGGTGACCTAAAAATGAACATTCCTCATTTCAATAGTCCTTTAGTGTTCTTCCCATAAAATTTTGGAAGGATCCAAACTTTGTAATTTACTTGTTAAGGCAGCATACTTATATTCTTATTGAACCTTTTCACAACTGTAGACCATCATGGAATCATCCATATTGATGCATGGTAAAGTCAACTGAAGTTACATAGGGGTGAAAGGGTTAAGCTGCAAAAGAAGTATTATGAAAGGAGGATATATGGAAGACCATATGAAGTGGGAGAACTGGTATGGTTTTTCAACCATAAAAAGGAAGAAAGAACTGACACAGAAGCTACAACTAGTTTGGGAGGGCCCGACAAGGCTTATCAGATTGTGAAGAAAAAGTCCTCAGCTATTTACAAAATAAAGAAAACAAAGAAAATGACGCCTTGAGTTGTTCATTTTGACAAACTTAAAACGTACAATAGTCCACCACCGCGCTACTGGAGAAGTCTTGTTACCTAGAGAAAAAGTCACACCTATAGAAAGTTCAGAGAAGGGACGTCAATCAATAAGACCTGTAACAAAGCCAGATAAATTGAATTTATAAAAGTTCAATAAGATAGGACGGGGGATTTATTTATGAGAGTAAATTACTACACAATGGTGAAACCTTTATATTTTCTAAAATGCCAAATCTTACTTTGCAGATGTACCTCTGCGATGTCTGCGACCGACAATTCAGTTCCCGGGGGAACTTGAACCGTCACCAGAGGACCCATGATTGTAGACGGTGTAATCAGAAGTATTTCCGGCGCAACGATTTGTTTTGTCATTTTGAGGCAGTCAACAACAGGAAGGTGACTACCAAGCCCAGGATGTCCCCATCCCACCACAACAAAATAAGGACTGAGCATTCTGAGCCTAAAGAGAAGCCAGTCAGGGGCGATGTCATCAATGTCCTGGCTGAGGATGAGGGAAGAATAACCCCTATAGCTAGTGTGCCTGTTAAAGATGTCCCTGAGGCAGAGGTGGAGGTGTCTGTCTCGCCGCCCCCATTGATGTTACGATTGCCAGGCAGAGGTGGAAGTGTCTGTCTCGCCACCCCCATTGATATTACGATTGCCAGACAGAGGTGGAGGTGTCTGTCTCGCAGCCCCCATTGGTGTTACGATTGCCAGGCAGAGGTGGAGGTGTCTGTCTCCCAACCCCATTAATGTTACGATTGCCAGTTGGAGGTGGAGGTGTCTGTCTCGCCACCCCCATTGATGTTACGATTGCCAGGCAGAGGTGGAGGTGTCTGCCTCGCCGCCCCCATTGATGTTACGATTGCCAGACAGAGGTGGAGGTGTCTGTCTCGCCGCCCCCATTGATGTTACGATTGCCAGGCAGAGGTGGAGGTGTCTGTCTCGC